CATGATATCGCACCGACATAAGACCGCATGACACACCAGCTCGCGTGTGATAAAATATTTACCGCACTTTCGATCATGCATATACTAGTTCACTTCGCGGGAGTGCAGTCGAGATACTTATAACGATTTTTTCGATCGACATTATGTCAAATCAAACCTACAACCTGCCGCCTCACCATAAGTTCCGGCATGATACTTCAATTGATTGCGCGCCCATGCACTGAGGCCGTGTTATGTTCATTCACCCATGTGCAGTTCAGGTGCCTGCGAGTTGCCTGCAGCCCGTTAAACATATCCATCAAGACGTACAGTGTGTTCCTCTGTGTGACGTGGATTACATGAATAAAAGAATAAAAGAGTGCAAGTTTGAAGCCTGTGGGCGGCTGCCAAGGGGATCCCTCGAGGATCCACTTACCGTTCCCGGAACGATCCGGATCGTGGACGGAGCGGAACCGGAACATGCGAGTGTACGTGTCATGCCTTCATTCGCCAGACTGGTGACGTACCCTGGTGACGAAGTGGTGACGCAACCAGCCTTCTTGTTGACACTAACCGCTTACACTCCCCATGCAACGTCTTGGTGATGCTGACTGGTGTCAAGACCCAGACCTTGAAGGCGCAGGGCTTCGTGAAAAGACTTTGCCGGCCTGCCAGCATAAGGCGACTCGAAGTTAAATCCCGGTTTCCGGTCCCCGACCGACCCAAAATCCGAAGGATTTTGGAAAATAATAATAAATATTGTGGATATTTTGTCCCAGATTTTCCGATTTTGGGCTGAAATATTGAGACTCTAAAAGCTCTGGGCCAAGAAATGAGGTTTTCCTCCCAAAAATACTCCATATTATTTCATCTTATGAACATACTAGCAAAAAACCAACTATTATTTTTTCCCGACCGACCGACCCACCCAAAAGGGGGTAGGACCGGAACCCGGGAATTAAATTCGACCCGCCTAAGACTGCTTTGTAAGCACTGGGGAAGCACTGGTCAGAGTGGTTCAGAGCAGAATCTGAGAAAGCATAAGGACAACATGCAACACTTGAAGGAGGTAGGAAGGAAGACGCACTACACAGTTGAATAGCTCAATGGCATGGGGAGCTTCACGGGACAGGCACCCATGTTTTAGAAAGGGCTCATTGGTCCAAAACAAGGGCTCTCACTTTGGGACTCAAGGAAGCGCATTCGAACCTTCCGGCAAGTGAGCCAAACACTGATTGGTTTGAAGTTGTACTCTGACAATTCTATATCTCAAAACTAAGGTAAGTTGAAGCACAAGGATGCACG